TATTTTCTCATTCAAATTATCAACTTTTTGCTCATTGTGATTTTTCAAAACTTCAATCTCCTCCATTAATTTCTGTATTCTTGCTTCTTCTTCTTGTTCATCTTGATAGGTATCTTCGGATTTACAATGATGAGGACTTTTTTCCCCTCTCCAATTCCACCAACCTCCTCTTCAAATATTGATTCTCCTCCTTTAATTGCTCCGTTTCCTCCAACTTCCTCTTCAAGTTTTTATTTTACTTCTCCGTCGTCTCCAATCGACTTTTTAACATTTCATTTTCATTTTCTACCGATGCCAATCGCTCCTTTGTTTCTGCAAGTAAATTTGCTGTGAATTTCGCACTTTGCTCAAAAGCGCGAGTCCGTCGTTCCTCCCTTCCTAACTCTCTTTTAACGTCTTAATCGGATCCAGTGCTGGTGAAGGTGAAAGCAGAATCAATTCATTAGTTGTGGTTGAACCATTCTCATAAATATGTGCTGACGAAGAATTCTGCATAAAAAGACCCTTCTGGCGCGATTGTCCAGAATTCTTTATCTTCTCTTCGAGTATGTTGAAGCTGTTGTTCTTGACGAGGAGAATATTTTCCTGACTATATTCGGGTTGAGGAAATTCTTGCTGATTCGAAAAACCTTGATGATGATATGAAGGTCTGTGATAATAATCATATTGCGATTGCTGTTGTTGTGATGTTTGTTTTTTACCGTTATTATTTAGTGGACGACAACTATAAATTTGCTCGTGTTGTTGCGGTAACCATGATTATTGTCTGGTTTTTTTGAAATCCAGAAAAAGATTTTATTAACAAATAACATGAAAGTTAATCAAATAATCAAGAATTATTTTAAACCATTTTTAAGATCAAGATGATGGTATTTTACCAAATTTGAAAAACTGGATCGGGAGATATTCCGGAAAAATGATATTACTCGCAAGAATAAGAATGTCCAAACTTGAGAGCTAATATCTCTCAATCCAGCAATCCAAATTTGGTGAATACACAACTTGATCTTAAGAATATTTTAAAAATTTTTTGATTCATTTTGATCGTTGGATCCTGAGAAAACTCAAAAAAACAAAAAAATTGGATAAACGCTAAGTTAACCCCAATTTTAGTTATTAACAAAACCCCGTTTTTCCGGATTTCAAAAAACCGGATTTTGGCCGAATGTTTGACCAAAATTTTCTTGCAGGATATAGTAAGAAAAATTATAAATATTTTAAGCTTAATATATTACTAGTAATCCCAAAAATGAATCTGTCACTTTGAATCCAATATTTCAAAATCCTGTGATCTAATCATATCGATATCATTTAATGAGATTACTGGATTTTGAGAGATTGGATTTCAAAATGGCATACAGGTATTTGTTTTTAGAATTTCTGGTAATATATTATAGGAATGCATATACATACATGTACTTATAACGTGTAATATTTAATTTTTATTTAATAATTTTAATTTATATCTAGCATATTAAGTTATATATGTATAATGTAATACAAAACTAAATTGCAATACTTGCGATCCAAAGTGTCAGATTTTGGATTAAACGTTAAAATAATATCACAATTATCAAAAGTAAACTCGTGAAGTCGAATTCAAAAACGGCCTCTAATAAACTCGCTTGATACAATGAAATTACTTATAAACTCGAATTTTAAGATTTTTACCAAAAAATCCGAGCGCTTCGTTATATTATGCTAAATGTCTTTGTATAATAATTTAAAGTTTGGATTCTTTGACTTAATATATTAATCACATGGTATCGTCCCTCCCAAAAATCACCTGATTTATATCTCTATTATTAGTGAACTTATGTATTTTTGACCATTCGAAACGACGAGAAAAGCAAATTAGTATTACATGTACAAGTATATTTGATTGTGTAAAAATAGATTAAACGCCTACCCTATTATCGACAACAAAGATAAGGCGGAAATACAGTAAAACGAGTGGAATATACATGTATATGCATGTACGGAGTTCATCAAACTCTACCACAAAAGATTTCATATGGATACATGTACTGCACTTGCATATCGATATCGAGAAATTTTTCTAATGCATAAATATATTTGTTAATTATAATAGGAAAAGAATATACATGTATATTTATAAATTTAGATAAATAGTTAGGTTTCAATTAAAAAACCGTGTTCGAACTTTAATTTCTACATAAATTTAATATTACCATATAAAAATTCGTTTTTATGGGAAATCTAAGATGTCGTCTTTCTCAACTTCAATTGGATGCTGTGGGTTTCTTCGCTACAAGACAAGAAAAAATCTCAATTCCGATAAATCAAAGCATGGTGAAGAGAGTATTTCAAATGAATTTGAGAAAATTTCATTGAGTAGTCAGCATTCTATGCCAAATTATTCGTGGATGGATGGTCGGCGGTTTCTTGATGATTCTAATTATATTTTGCCAAAAGATGATGAAGAAGTAAGTTTGAGAATTAGATTTTTATTTAAATATAAAATAATATATTAACTAAGACCATTCAAAGATTGATAGGTCGAATACAATAGTAAATTACACTTGATTATTGGCGTCGGAATGGAAATTTTTTCAAAAAACGTAATTTTCTTTATTTTGATACGCAATAGCATTTTCTAGTTAAACATATTTTAGATGGAAATTATAAGGCACCAATAACTGACACAATGAAAAAATGTTTAGACGTTGGGTGAGTTTTAGCTGTAATGTTTATTTCACAGAAATTGAATTAATTGTTAAATCATATTGATAATTTCTTTTATAGCTCGGGTAATGGTACATGGCTTATGGATATGGCGAGGTGAATGTTTAGTTCAAATGAAGCTTTTTTCTAAACTCGAGAAGCTTAATCCAAATGTTTTGCATATGTTTAGTGAATTTCCCGATGTCTCATTTATTGGAGTTGATATTGATCCACAATCACCTAGCACAATATATCCGCAAAATTGTCAATTTGATACATACGATATTTTAGGTAATTTAAATAATTTAAACAGCTTCATGTATACATGTATTAATTTAATATAATACTCGAACTAATCAGGTGGTCTACCATATGAAGACGAAACCTTTGATTATGTGCATTGTCGGTGGGTTATTTGTTGGTTACCTCGTGAAAAAAGTAGATTTGTGCTTGAAGAAATAATACGAGTTACGAAACGCGGTGGTTGGATAGAGTTTCTTGGTATGCTACTCGACACATAAGCATGTTTGTGTATACATTCAGAGATATTTATTCAAAATTTATTAACTTGATATTTAGAAAGCAATTTTGCAGAAGTAAGGTGTTTATCTGTTTCAAATATTTTTGTTGCTATATATTGTTTGCTAAAATCGCTTTCCAATCCTACAGGAATCCCGGTCCAATTTTCAAATCACTATGGAATACATGGAAAGAAATATCAGAATTACGAAGATACGACAATCACATTGTAATTACTCTCGAAAAGATATTGAGTGAACTTCCGATAGATAAATTATCGAATACAAAAATATCAGTACCAGTTGGTAAAAAAGGAGGAAAGGTGAAAGATTATTAAAATCCTTTTCAAAAATATATTAAAAAAGTTTATACATGTACTCATAACTTTAAATTAACAGATTGGTGAAATATGGAAAGGAATTCTCGAAGGTGCGTATGAAGCGATGTCACCAAGATGGCGAGAGTACAGAAATTAATGGAGGAGATTGAAGTTTTGAAAAATCACAATGAGCAAAAAGTTGATAATTTGAATGAGAAAATA